GGCATTTCTCTGGATCAGAGCAATGGTTAAACTGAAGTAAGAAAGGTTACCATTCCTCGGCACCATAGCTGGATGTATGATACTCTAAATAGAAAAGAGAATGACCCCGCCAAACTCCTTGCAAAGACTCAAGCAGCATATGTGTTTTTAAAGGGAGCAATGATTATTTTTATTAGTTTTCTGACAGTTGTTCTGATCAGATGCTTAGATTCAGTGACCTCACCATGGTGTCCGTCATCTATGGGACTCCAATGACAAAGGAGATTGTGGGGCGTAGTACTATCACAAGGGTGAATGCAGCCCTGGCAGGTACATCCAGAGCTGTGGGTACCTAGCTGTGGAGAAAGGGCACCTATGTGGGTCACCCTTCTGGGTGACTGTCATGTTCAATTCTTATAACATCCCTAGGACATGTGTACTGTTATCTGTTGCATTTTAGAGTTGAGGGAGCTCGAAAAGTGAAGTGATTTGCCCAAGGTCACTAAGCTGGAAAACAGAGGGGCTGATCCCTGAGCCTGCATTGCAAACCACTGCCCATACAATCAAGCAATGGATTGGGCTAAGAAGGTAGCAGAGATGAGAAACTCAAGAGCAGTTGTTTACTTCCAAAGGAACTTCTCTTTCTCTGCTCCTCCTCCTCCCCCTCCAACCTGTTCCAACTGCTCAGAGAAGACAGATGCTTGGGGGGAGTGTGAGTAGCAAAGCAAAGAAAATCCTTATAAATTATTTTTTCTAATTTGCAGGATTAAAAACACATTTCCCATCACTCATCTTTCTGGATAGTAATGGTACCAATTCAATCAAACACTTCTCTTTCTGTCCCAGCGCATAGCCTTGGGGACACACGCACACACGTACACATGCACACGAATGCACATGCACAAATGTGGACACGCACTTGTTTCTAGTGGCACTTGGAAAAGCTTCTGGGGCTCGCTCTGCTTCCTCAGAGTCACCTAATTTGGGGTTGGCTGTGACAACCAGATCCATGAGTAGCTTTCTGGAAGATCTCAACAGTTTGTCCTTAAAAATACTTTTGACAATTGAATTTTAAAAAGCCATCTGAGAAATACTGACCAACTGCACCTTTGTGTTTAAAATCTGAAGTGCACTATGGTCCATGACATGTTATTTTTCTCTTTTGTTTTTGCTCATTTGCATCATATATTTTAAAAATCTGCTTTCAAGACTATATTTAATTCAGTCTTGATTGGGTATCGAAATGTCTGTCCAACCTTGGAAAGGGGTCTTACTTGTAAGTTATAGTCTTCTTTTCACTGTCCTGGTTTTTGAACAACAAAAGGAGTCGTTTTCCACTTCGTACTTGGGGATTCTGCCTCCCATCCACGAGGCAATTCCTGGTGTAGAGGTAGCTAGCTTAGTCACCTAAGAATGAGGAGGAAATAATATTTAAGTCAGTTGGCATGTTCTTCCCCCAAATTCCTAAGAGACAACACCTCCATTTTGCTACTAAAAGGAGAATACATTCCTCCTTGACATGTTGGGTTTCTAAACCCTCAAATTAGCAAATATAGCCAATTCCAATGTGACTATTGGTCATAGCAACTAGATTCCAGGCCTGTTGGAGTGCACAAAGCCACACAGCACTGTCTGAATAGGAACTTGGACCAGCCTTTTCAAATTTCATAAGGGAAAAAAGAAACTTCAAGGGCATGATTGCAAAAAGAAGACAGAGAAGAAAGGAATCTTGCTGTTCTCATTTCAATCCACAGCATTAGTTCTGAAATCCTATGTTTGGGGAACCCCTAATGGCTAAACTTACACAAGCAGAAGGAAAATAAAATGCCCTTATTAAATTTTCTGTGAGCATGTTAAACATTTTCTCTTTCTCCTGTCTCCATGCCTCAGACTTCGAGTCATTTTCCCTCTCTCATCTGTTTCCAGCTCAGTTGAGTTACAACCAATCAGATATGAGGAAAATTAGATTTTAATGGAATATTTGATTTTCATTGCTTAATTGATTTAATTGCAAGTTTCTATTTCAGAATGGTAGAAATGCAAAGATTTTCAGTCAAATGCAGAAAAGCTCTCATTTTTCTGTGTTCAACAATGACAAACTTAATAATTCAATGTTAGCCTGGATTCTAAAACTTTAGAGGAAAGGAATAGCAGCATCTCTCGGAATTTTTATTCTTAGTCTATATTTCAGTTTCTCTTTCATACATATGTATATATAAATATGTGTATATATATTATACACACGCACACATATATATATCTTATGTCAAAATCCTGTGTTTACATTTGCTTATTCTAGTTATGTTGGTTTTGATTTTTGTGTATGAACTTTTGTTTGTCAGAAGTAGCAATATATGTGCACTTATATAAGCCTACACTTTGTTTCTGGGGACATTTAATGCCACAAAATGTTTCCTTTTGTTGCTGGTAAGTGGAAAGACAGTTAGGAGAGTTATTTCTCTAGTGACCGTGGTGGGTGGATGGGCTTTTCTGAATCCAGTCAATGCCCATGATATACACTGCCCTCCTAGAGAAGGATCCCTGGGGAATTGTGCAAGGCTCAATCACCAATGGGGAGGGCAGCATGTGCCCCCACCTGTCCATCATCACCCCTGATTTAGGTGCCCATGTTGACTACAGCATCAGATTTTCCAAAATGCCCTCCCATAGTACTGGAGCAGCCCTGTGTCTTTGCACAGTTTCTGAATTCCCTAAACTCCTTATTTAACATATTAAGTTGTTTTCGTTGTTTTTTTTTCTTAAAATCTCTATCAGCTTTGGGAAATTTAAGATTTTCTAATCATTTTGAGAAAACTCTATGCGTGTGTGTATACACAAACCATTGGCATACGAAAAGTTAATTATAGATGATCCATATTTGAATTTCCTACCAGGTATCTTATATACTTCTTTGTCAGATTCTTTATTTAGAATACAATTCTTAATATGAAAATCTTAGCCTATCGTATGATCTGCCATTTTTCATCATCATAACCACCATCATCATCATCATCATGATTGTCAACACGTGCCTATTTTTGTGGAGACTTCCTCCCGTACAAAGCTAAGAAAGCAAAAAGGGCACAAGCATGAGCTCTGGAGACAGGTTAGCTGTGGTTAGAGTCCTGGCTCTACCAATGGCCAATCGTGGAACTTCAGGCAAGTTACTTTTCCTCTCTGGCATTTATTTTCCTCATCTATAAAATGGGAATAATAACAGGGCCTAGCTCACAAGATTATATGAGAGTTCAATAAAGCAATAAAAGTGCTTAGAAGAATGTCGGGCATGTAGGAAATGCTTAATAAGTGCTCCGAATACTGCTGAGGTTACAGTGTGTGCCACATACCAGGCTGAGCACTATATGTAACTTATTTCACTTAGTCCAGTCATACGCTCAGGGGGTGCAAGGGATTCTGCTCTCCAGAGGACATTAGACAAAGTCTAGAGACATCTTTGTTTGCCATGACTTGGGGGTGCAACTGGCTTCTAGTGAACAGAGACCAGGGTGCTGCTACACATCATACGACACTCAGGACAAGCCACCCATAAGAGGGAATTCTCTAGCCCAAGATGCCAATAGTGCTGAGGCTGAAAAATCTTGATTTAATCTATGAAGTAGGAATGATTTACATTATGCTTATTTTATAGAGGAGACGATTGGAAGCTTAGAGAAAGTGAGACTTATACTGCAGACTCAGTAGTTGTAATCACTGTGCAACGGGCGTTTGGAACAGAAAGGTTTGTTTTGCTTTTAAGATAACTGCATGCAAGACCCTCTAAAAACTCTAAAACAGAAAGCCTGAGTTGCTTTGTAGAAGCAGAACAGTTAAGCAATGAGTTTAGGACAGTGAGAACAGACATTGCCTGGAGTACATTATGAGGGTGCTAGAAGCCCCATCCTGTGCCCAGCCTGACTTCTTTGAATTTTCTGGATCATAGGGAAGTCCAGAGGCTTGGCCAGAGTGGCCAGGGTGGTGTTAGACACTCCCAAAGCTGGGCCAGGCTTTGCCTTCCTGTAGTCCAAGAAGTATATTTTATTAATAATATTTTAACAACTGGTTTGGTCAGCTCTGAGGAACACTTTAAACTCATGATTTCATAGATATTGTTACTTAAGAGGAAGTCACATTAAAAGCATGAAAACTGAGATTATCTAAAGAAAGAAAAAATATTGAGCAAATATCAGTACAGTCCGCAGTGGGCATGGTAAAAATCATGAAGGTGATACAAAGAGCTCATGAATGGGAAACACTTTATTCCAGAAAACCCTTGAGGACAGGTGCTCATTTACATATCCCAGGGCCTGGCACCTAGTGGATGCTTAAATGAATGAACCTAAACTTGCCACCTTATTTCCAAATTAGTACAATGCCATCTGAAGGTGGTGGCACCTGTAACCTCAAATGTACATACGATCCCTTTCCATTTGAGACCTCCCACTTTATCTCTGAGTAGAATATTAGCAATAATTGGTTGGTTCCACTTCTCAGCCTCTCAGCCTTTGCATTAACATGGTCCATCTCTACATCCCAGCAAATCATTCCTCCCTGAGGTGCCTCCCTGCAACGTGGGTGGAGAATTAACTGAATGTGTTCAGAAAGCCAAATGACTCAAAATTCATCCCCTTCATTATGACCTCGGTCAAATCCAGATGTCACAAAACAATTTGTGATCTGCTGCGGTCACTGTGGCTTGGGTGAAGAGGCCACGACCATTAGAGGAGATCAGTTCTCAAACCGTTTCTTTGTGGATGTTTGTTACAGGACTCGATTTGTGTCTTTCTGAGTACAGCTAAATAAATGGTGGTGCAGTTTATAGTCCTAATAACTGTCATTTTAATTGTGACTTTCACTGGATTAAAAAAAAAAAAAAACAACCTCTTTTTGTTTTTGACCTCCCACGTGTATTTTTGTTGCTGTTGTTGCTGTTATGTAGATGCTTGGCCAGTTGTGGCTAAGCAGTCATTCAAGTGCCAATGTCTATAGAGGGTGGGAGGGAGGGGGAATGAAAATATTTCTTATGTAGCCCATAGCATAGTATGTTGAAGAGAGAGAAGCATTCTCTTCCAAAAGTACAAAATTGGTCACAAGACTGTAATGTGCTTGCAGAAACCAGTTATGTTCGATGGGTAGGTGTTTTCGTGCTTCAAATTAATATTTGTCCTTTAAAATAGCAGATGTTTCGCTGTATATGTAGGCAGTCGACAAGAGCAGGCACACCGCCGCTGTTCCAAGTGAAGGGCTGAGAGACAAGTGTGGCTCTCACGGCCAAGGCAATCCCCGCCCCCTCCTCCTACCCCTTCCACTCTGCGGTGATGCTTTCTTGGCATCTCAGACGCAAGCTGTTGTGCCTCACTTCTCAAATGCACCGAAGCTACATTTCCCAGCACAATAATGGCTACCTGCTTAAAGCCAGGTCCTCAGACCAAGCTTCATCAGCGCCCAGGCACTGGTTAGAGATACAGACCCCCAGGCTCCAGTCCACACCTGCTCGATCGGAACCTGCACTTGAACGAGACCCCCAGTGATTCTTCTATACATTCAAGTCTGAGAAGCACTGATACCCCAACACTCCGTCCTCCTATCTCTTTATGGGCTCTTCCCATGCTTTCCTTGTGTTATCTATTTCTGCACTATACTTTCTATTTTCCATACATTAGTTGAGGGCAAGCCTTGCCTTATTTTTTCAAATATCTATTTAGCATGTAGGTGCATTTCCTAAGCATAGTGGTGCTTCCTCAACTCCTGAATTCAATTTAGAGACTCAGATGATAATAACCAAAAAAGAGTGGCAGAAAGGGAAGAGGGACAAAGGCAAGTGGAGCTCTAGATTTTAGGCATATTCAACTCTTCCACTTTCTAGCTGGGCAGTCTTGAGCAAATTATTTAACTCTTCCAAGGGGCAGTTTTCTTGACTGTAAAATACAGATCATAATCGCTATCTCATAGGTGTGTTTCAAGGAGCAAATGAGCTCAAACATATAAAGCCATCAGTACGGTACTAATTGGCTCATAGTGGGTTCTCAAGGAATGTTAGCTACTACTATATTAATTATCATTTAAGCCAGTAGGTTCTATACATATCATAAATCCAAAAAGAACACCTCTCTAACTTTTTAAAATTACTCTTTAGTTCTCCACTGGGGGAGATTTTGTTCCCCAGGGGACATTTGGCATCGTCTGGAGTCTGCCTGTCATGAATGGGGGAGAAGGGGAGAAGGGTGCTACTGGCATCTAGTGGGTAAAGTCTAGCGAAGCTGCTAAACATCCCATGGCACTCAAGACAGCCCCACAACAAAGCAAGGCCCAGCCCAAAATGTCAATAGTGCCAATGTTGAGAACGCCCCCTCCTCCCCGTTACCCACAGAGGCACTGAGGTAAGCAAAATAACCAATTTTTCTCTTGAGGATTTAAGTACCTTGGTATATGCCCTCTCTCAGGTATTAATGCTGAGACCCTTTGTCAGGATTCATTTGCTGTGAGGCCATCGTTTCCTCTGGAACAGAACCGCACACTGGAGAACCTGATGCAGCCTGATTAACCTATTAAAGGTCATAAAACAATAACAATTACATCGCACATTTCATTCTTTAATATCAAAGAGAGCTAGGTTCTTTGAAATGTAAAACATCATAAGTGAAAGAATAACGCCTGCAATTCCCCCAGGAGCCCAAGGTCATTGTATAATCACACGCTGGCTCCCCTATTAAATCGCTCCATCCCGGGGAAGTGCCACAGTTATCGGAGAGGGGGGCGGGCTGGAGACGACAGGACTTTTGCTGCCCATGACTGAGGTCAGACAGTGTAGCTGTGGTCCATGGTTCAAAATAGATGCTGAAAATGGAGCAAAATAAATATCTTTACAGCTGGTAGAAGAATCAAGCATGAAGCTCCTCTCTCTCTCTCTCTCTCTCTCTCTCTCTCTCTCTCTCTCTAAAAAAGCAGAGAAGCTGCAAGAGCTCCCAAGAATGTATTAGTTTCCCAGGTACTACTGCAAAAATAAGGGTGAGGAGGCGAGTGTTAGGCTTTATTCCTACTGTGAACAGATTAAGCAGACACCAATTTACACCTCATTGTTAAGAGTAACTTCTTTCCTACAAGTGAGACCACATTTACATCTTTTGTAATTAAGCTAAAGGAATTTTTTTTAAAAAAAAATGACATTTCCCCCACCGCAAACCAGGAAGTAAATAAATATTGTATGTTAAGTGGGATCAAATGCTAAAATATATACATTAGAGCCATTTAAAAAAAAAAAATGAGACCGAGTGCTAGAGTCACCTTTCAGCCTCATCATCTGCTGGGCTGGGATATTAGCTGTGGTTTTTGGTGTTTTGGTTTTGGAAAAGGCCACGAATAACTAACAGGAGCAGTTAAAGAGATGGTGAGCAGGGAGGGCTTCGCTCTGGGGAAGGGCTGGTTGTTGCCAGCTTCTCTGAAGCCAGGAGCCACGGCAGTGAGTTAGCAAGTGCTTCCGGGTCATTCAAGGGTCCCCATCCATCAGCAGGAATGTGACACTACAATACCATGCAACCCTACATACGTCTCCTGCGTACTTTGGCAATTTTCATTTTTAGGAAAATTGAACACAGAAAGCTGTATGTTAAAGAGCTCTAACATCCTTTATTCCCCATGCAAGAGAATCTAGCTGGGCAAAGAGGCATCTTTTTTTTCTCGTAACAATAGAGTTTGCGTGGCTGCTATAAACAATACGATAACGGACCCAGATAATACATAATTGCAGGACAACAGGGAGAATGAGGTGTGGGCAAGGAGGAAAATGGATGGTTTCGGATGAGATTTGCACGGAGATTGAGTCAGTGAGGTGAAGGGAAGCCAGCCCAGGTCACGTCTGTTCTGCACTAACTAAGGTAAATTATGGGCTGCACACCTGGGCTGCGAGCCGGAGGCCGCACCGCCAGCCCAGGCTGTGTCTTTGCAAGACGGACTTCTCCCATGACGGGCTCGCCAAGTGAAGTATTCGCAGGGAAGGCTGTAACTGGTGATCGGCCAACGCGATCAGTCAAATCAGGTGCCTGCTTTTTAAGAAAACGGTGGCAAGCCCTGAGATACACATTTATAGAGCGTAAATGCCAGGCTGTCACATCCTTGGCACATGCCTAGGTGTTGTCACTGCGTGGGCTCGATGTGCATTCTCCGCCCTGATTATCAGCATGAAAAGACAAAGCCTCAGATATATTTCTCTTTATTTTTAGGCTTTTCCTGGAAAAGGTACAAACACATCACAAACTTTGTCTTCCAAGAAAAGATCAGATGTACCTTTTGGAGGTATCTTTCTCCTTGTGCCACTTGCTTTTTTAATTCGAGCCGGCTCGGAGAGTCTCCTTGTCTTCCCTGGGGCTCCTCCTTACCCTTTCCAGGGTGGCTGTTCTGGTGCAGAGTCACCTCCTTTGCTACGGATGGCGGTTCTCACCACCCATGAAAAGACCTCCTGATAAAACACTTCCCAGAGAACCTCCCTGACCTTCCCTTTCCCTTGACCACAAGGCCACATCTGTGTTCTATCAAGTGACGTCTTACACATCTTTGTAAGTTGCATGAACTATGTGTCCTTACAGACTGCACTCACGTTCAGCGTCACCATTAAATGTAGAACCCAATCTGTAGCTCTGATTAATTTGGTAATTTAGCAGATACTGTCATGCATTGAATAATGACATTTCGGTCAGGGACAGGCTGCATATACAATGGTGGTTCCCCCGATGTTATAATGGAACTGCACTATAGAGTTGTACCATTTTTTATCTTTTATACATTTTTACTGTGCCTTTCATGTTTAGATATGTTTAGCTACACAGATTCTTACAATTGTGTTCCAATTGCCTGTTATCTTCAGTGTAGTACCATGCTGTACAGGTTTGCAGCTTCGTAGCAGTAGGTCATCCTATATAGCCTAGGTGTGTAGTAGGCTCTACCATCTGGGTTGATGTGAGTACACTCTATGATGTTTGCACTATGACAAAATTGCCTAATGACACACTTTTCAGAAGGTGTCCCTGTCGCTAACCAATGCACGACTTACGTATGAAGTCTACCCTCTGTGTCAGCCATGGTTTTAGGTATGGGAACCAAAAAGACAACTTCCTGCCCTCTTGGAACTTACATTCTGATACAGGGGGTCCCACAAGGACCAAAATAAGTAAACTATGTAGTGATTTAGACATATTGAGTGCAATGGAGGGAGAATGTAAAGGGAGAGTGGGGAATTGGGGGGAAGAAAGTGATACAGTTTGAAATAAGGCGATCAGGGTAGGACTTGCTGAAAAAAAAAAAAAAAAAAGATGTTGGAGGAAAATGCCCAAATGGGGTGTGAGAGTAATCCAGGTTGACAAGGATGAATACTCGAGGAAGGGGAACAATGGGAATTGACATCTGAGACACTGAGGGGAGGGCAGAGCATGCCAAGCCCTTAGAATGTTAGGAAGGCTTTGGCTCTTCTGCAATAAGAAGCTCTCAGATGGTCCTGAGCAGGAGTAACATTATCTGGGGTACAGTATAAATGATTGCAGAACTGAGAATAATCAGTAGTGGCTGTCTCAGTTACTTATTACTAGATAAGAAACTACACTAGAACTTGATGTCTTGAAACAAGAGTAATTTATTATTTCTCAAATTTCGCTGTCTACCATGCAGTTCTCTTGCTGGGCTTGCCTGTACTCGCTTGCACAGTTGCATCCAGCTGGTGGGGCAGGTGGGGGCTGGACTTGGTGAAATGGCTCAGCCTCCCCCTCCACATGGTTTTGCATCTTCTAGGAGGTCAGGAAAGGCTTTCTTTAATGGGGATGGCACTCTTCCAACACAGCAGGCCCCAATGCTCAAGAGCGTACCGGGCCTTTCTTTGTATCATGTTAGCTTATGCCCCATCGGTCACAGCAAACCACTAGGCCAGTCCCAGAGTCAGAGCAGGAGAGGGCTATTTAAGATCATGGATACATGAAGCTGGGATACATTGGTTGTCCTTAACAAAACAGGGGCCACAGTGGCCAAAAGTGCAAATCACGGAAAGTCATTTGGGGGACTCTACGACAATCCAGAAACGATGTGAGGTAGATTGCACCAGAGTGATAGCAGTGGAAGTTTTGAGAACTGCCCAGATTCTGCCTATCTTTTAAAGGATGACCTTATTTTTATTCATCCAAGTCACTAGGACAAGTCTATTAAGCTTCCAGGGATTGGTGATGTTCTTATTATGCATGAGATGATGTCATAATCGAGTAAATGAGGTCAGGCATAGGTTTCTTTTATTGCTGATAATTATTCAATGAGTTTTCTGAATGATTGTAAACTTAGTAATTCACTTAGTGACTGTACACGGCACCCTGTCAATATCATCATCAGCTAATATTTATTGAGCATCCTCTGAGAACATGATATTGCACTCACAGCAACAGAGGTGAGCTGCATTAATTGTTTCAACCAATGCAGGATTATCAAGTGGTTTATTACATCACTCTATTAATTGGTGCCCTAGCAGCGTCCAGAGCAGAATTCAGCTTCCAGAACAGAATTCCTTATTCCCTTGGAGTAGATCTAGCTTGGATAGAATCTGACTGCACAAAGAAATGATATGGATCCCTGCCTTTATAAGTATGCTAGTGCTTTTTTTATTAACCCTATTAACAGAAACTGAGAGATAGTGGTCCCATTTAGTGGATGGAGAAGTTGAGGCAGATAGTAATTAAGTAATTTGGCTAATACTATGTACTGAAATGGTGGCAGGTCTGTGACTGAAAACACAGTAACTTTTTCAACTGCACTATACTGCCTCTCAGTGGTGCATTCTCCCTCACACAAATATATGGTCACAAAAACACCCAAAAAGGTTTAACCGGTGTCTGTGCTCTTTTAGAGAGTGCATGGCACTTTTCTTTGACATCTGCACAGCCTAATCACTGGAAAAGTGGTTTGTTTGTTGTTGTTGTTTAAGCCCCTTATTAAAGGGGATTTGTCAGCTGTTGAAATCACCACTTTTTTGTGTTAGTTAAATTCTCATCAGAAAAATGCTGCTTTCAGAGTGCATCTAGAGATTTAGGAACCAGCTCATGAAATAAACTATTTAATTGAGATCCCTACTTTCATTTTGTTCTGGAAACTGTTATTTAATGCCAATTGTTTTGATCAATCATTCCTTTTGAGAGAGTTCTACCTTTTATAAATGAAAGAGTTAAATTTGGAGCTAAAGAAAAACTGTGAGTGGAAGGGGGGGCAGTGCAAATGCAGAATTTATTTGCAAATCTTGAAAGTCGCACCATTAAATGTCATGCACTCTGAGATGCACTAGAGTGTGCACCCTCCAGAATGTCTGTTTGTTGTAATTCCATCGCATTACATATTTTAGTGCATATCTCCTCCTGGCAGCTTCCAGAGCTTTTCAGATATTCAGCATCAGAAATTGCACTGTTTTATCCTGGATTTTACAAATAGCAACCAGATTATTGTAAAACAGAACTATCTGATAAGTGAGGTTGTGAATTGCTTTTGTGATTGTCATGGGTAAGTGTATTGAAGAAACTGGCAAACAGTACAGCATACTGGTTACTGTAGAAATAAAACCTGTAGCAGTGAATGCGTTTTTCTGATGAATACGTTCAAGGCTGTGATCATTGTGCAACTTCTGGTTGGATGCTTTCAAATGTTCCGTATTGAAAAACATCGGTAACAAGAACCAAATAGTCCACCAAAGCCTGTATTCAACTCAATGGAGAGGAACGTAAATTCTTACTTAGAGTTTCATTGAGGCCAACTCTATTTGGTCCACCATGGGAAGGAGAGATTTGAGGTTCTCTCTTGATTTGCTTTCCATTTTTACTTTATGATGAGGCGGCTGCTACTTTGGTTTTCACTTAAGGGGTTGTTCAAATCACTATGCAAAACAGAAATGGAAAACAGACAGGACCGACTTCTGTTCAGCAGACAAAAACCAAAATGCAAGAACATGGTAATTAATGTTAGCAATTTTATAAGCAAAATAATTTGTTTTAATTGGCCAAATCAAATCTGATATAATTATAATATTCAATAAACTAATTTCAGATAACTATTTATATCACAAACCTTTAATCATATTATATACTAATTGCAATTTTGGAAACAGATATGAAAATGGACCTGAATTATCTCATCTTTGTAAATAAGAAAGACACATTAAGGGCTTTTTCAAAACTTCAAAGGTTATATTCTTTTCTTATTTTTTTCTTTTTGAAAAACAGTAATTTATAGACAATTCCAGGAGTGTGAATCTCTAGTGAATCCAGACAGAAGCATTATGAGGGTGAAAAATCTTTCCTAAAAAAGCTCCTTTTGTCCAAGGAGAAAGGCTTATTAGGATGAGGTGTCTTCTACAATGTTCTTTCCTATCCTATTCACCCTAAGGAAAAACAAATCTCCTAGAAGAGATAGATGTATAATTGGGCCTGAAATGACCCCATAGAAGAGACCCTATAGAATTGAGAAATGCTCTCTCTAAGGATTAGCTGCCCATGGGTCAACCCAAGATGACTTCCAACTAATGTATAAATGATCAGGGGGGAAACGATATTCTTCCAGAGGGCAGCTGTTAATTCTTCCTACTATGAGAATCTCAATTTGTTGGGATGAGCTAATTTTGACACTAACTTGAACAACGGTTAACGCATAGCATGTGCTCCAAAAATATATATACCAAAGTAAATAAAGGAATGGACTTCCATACCACCCGAGGAGTGAAAAAAGATAGAAAAAATTGATGTACTTTGATCACTATTCTGGCTGTATTTTAACAATGTTTTTTTTAAAGGCCAGGGACTTTATTATAAACTCTTTTGCATAATTTCTGAATGATAAAATTGTAGACCCATAAGCACTATCAGTATAAACATCAAATCAGTTTGTGCTTATGTTTTGTGCTGGGTAGTACTCAAAGGAATAGTGATATGTATTATATAAAAAATAAAGACAATTAGTTCCTGCAACCTTCAGTATGCTTAAAATCTATGTGATAAAGTAAGACATGAATCCAGTAAAAGTGACTTAGTAATATTAGAATAACAGTTCAACAACAATATGAGGTGTCCAAAAGCAGGACAAGATTAATTAAATTATATGTAATAAAATGTTCCAGGCAATGGCTGCTTTGAAATGGGAGAAAAGAGCATTTCCTATGAGATACTATAACTCCTAAACTAGAAAGGATTCTTTGTGGATGAGGAAATACTTTATATTGAATAAAAAAGGTAGCATACATTTAACAAAACAAATTCCATGTGAAAGGAGAAGATGTGGAGCTAGCCGGGTACAAAAAGTGCTTGGATGTGTATAACCAATTGTGTGGGAATTCTAAAACATTGCCAGAAATAGAAGGATTTAGGCAAAATTGAGTCACATATTCATTTATCAAACATATATGTGTTGAGCAATCACCCTGTGTTAGGTATACACTTAGGTACTAGGAATACAGCAGTGAATAACAGCAACAACAACAACAAAAAATATCCCGACCGTGAAGTTTATGCAAATATTGTAAGGCAGGTATGAGACAGTAAGCGCTTGATACCACTGAATATCCTGTGTGGGAAACATGAGGCATTTATCTTCTTGGTTCTGTTGCTTTTCACTTGTGCATAGACAGGCAGAAACCATAATGTATACATAAAATGAAAGCATCCATTCAACTTGTTGAACATTTAACAATATTGTTCATCACCATGTACATAGAAAAATATGATATTGGATGACTGAATGTTTTACATTTTTCTGGGTTGCTTTAGTATTATATAGACTTAGCCAAAGAAAAAATAAATGAGAAGGTAATTATCGCATTTACTTAAAAAGAAAGAATTAAAAGTGACTAAACACTGTGGGTATTTGAGTGGTTATTTCTGCCTTTCTGTGTAACCTTAAACGGACGACTTTCAGTTAATAACTTTCCCTTTTCCATGCATGGAATGGGTGGCCTGAGGGGGCCATCTTCAAGCAGAATATAAATGCCAAGTATAAGAAACCAAATCAATGAGTATCACTTTCTTACAGCTTTTTTTGCAGAGAACTTTATTCGTTTTTATCTGCATGGCTCATTCATATGTAATGTTTGTCTTTTATATTATTTTGTATAATTATGACGGTTTCATAGAAAGAATGACGAAACTATTTTCTAAAAAACAAAATAAAACAAACAAACAAAAAAAAACCCAAAACAGTATCACTGAATTTAAATGTGCTTAAAAGCTTTATTCCCCATGGGCAAAGATGATCAAGCAGTCAACAAACACTTATCATGTAAACAAGCTATATTTTAAATAGATTTATGAAAGTTACTAAAGAAGTAGAGATGTTTAAAACATATATATTGCTCCCATTTAGTTTATAATATAATTGGGAAAATGGAGCACAAAACCCAAGACCCAAATTTTAATGATAATAAACCAATATGACATAGGCTAAGTTCTGGATGGTTGGCCTGGATAAAAATAACTAGAAAATAGAAAGACAAGTGTTTCTATCCTGGCTGTGCCATTTGTTACTTGCGTGACATCACGTAAGTTAATTTTGCTAAACCTTAATTTTGTCTTCTGTAAAATGGTTCTAATAACCGCCATTTTGTGGGCTTTTATAAGGTTTAGAAATTAAAAGCAGTAAGTCCCTGTCATGTAAGAAGCATTTGCATCGTTACTAACTACTCTTTATTGTGTAGGTGTTATTAAATAACTATATACTAGGTCTTGTGCTAATTGCTTTACATTTATTAGCTAATTAAGGTTTCACAATATTTTATAGATGAACAGAATAAGGTTTGGAGAGGAAAGGAACTTGACCAATGTCCCACAGTGAGAAAGCAAATGTAAGGGTCAGGATTTGAACCCAGGGCCAAGCCCAAACCCACGCTCCTAATTATAGTACCGCCAACTTTCCTGGAGCACTTGAATAGCTAATAGGATTAAAACAATTTCTTCACCATAAACCAAAAAGGTCAGAGACGTTTTTGTGGAGGCCATGTAACTTGTCCTGCTCTTCGATAAAGAAACTGGAGCTAAACATGTTGAGATGAAGAAGAAAAGGACATTCTAAAGAGAATTAAAAAATCCACGTGAGGCTCTGGAGAGGGTGCACATGGATCAGGCTGGGAGAGCAGCGAGCTTCTGTGCAGTGGTGATAGAATGAATGTTTGCAAGAATAGGTTGGTATCAAACTGCGGAGATGATTGAATATGAGGCAAAGAAATCTGCACTTTATTCTCTAAGGAATTGTGCACCTTTGATGATTTTTAAGCCGATGCATAAGATAATGGAATAAAACAGACTTTCAATTGACCAATCAATAGCTATTGGGAACGGATGTCATTCAGAGTGGCATTTTAAGAAGGTTATTCCAGCTTATGAAGGATGAATTGGAGAAGAAGAAAAAAAAAAACCTCTTAAAATGGTTGTTTTCAATAGCTGTGTCATGACCACTGGGAGAAGTGTCACAACTAACAAGTCACTGATAGTAAAGTATTGGTTTGCCAAAGATTAGCTGCTTTGTACATTAGAGCAGATTCAAGGTCATAGCTAGAGTAATGTCACTCTCCTTCACTCAGATTCCAAGTGCCTTCTTGAGAAGGGGAAAGGTGGTGTTACGATCTGGTGCAGCCTTGCCAGGACCCTAGGAATGTCCCCAGGAACGGGTGCTGCATTGCCCCCTTCATGTGTTTTGGCACAGAAAAGCTTGAAGAAGTGCTACATTAAAGGATTGTTGCAACAGTCTAGGCAAAAGTACACAGATGGCGAAAGTGTCAGGGGTCTGGAAATAGAACCACAACTATAAGAGATGTGGGAGTGGTATTTGCTAGTTATTGATATTTGGATGATTAGGGGGTCAGAGGAAAGAAAGAAATGAGCCCTGAATGACTCAAAGGATTTTTATATTTGAGACTATTGAGGGCATTTGGAGAAAGAGCTTGCTTTGCTTTGAGGGTGAGTTCATGAGTTTGGTGGTAGAACTTGTTGAGTTTTGAGCATGTTAACCAAGTGGAAAAACCCAGAGGGCAGTTTGAATAACTAGAGCTTGTAAGGAAGGGTCAGAGTGGAAAGCAGCTTTTGTGAGTCATCCATTTTGAGGTGATGAAATATTGTCTATGTTACCAATTTAAAAAATTTTTTAAAGGCTGGTGAGTGGGTTTCCTAACAATAGAAGTTAACATTTATGAAGCACTTGCTATGTGCTAGGAACGGAACTCAAAATAGCACATACATCATTTATTCTTAATGACAGCCCATGAGGCAAAGTAGTATTATACACATTTTAAGATGAGGAAACAGCCACAGAGAGGCAAAATAGCTCAGTCATGGCCACACAGCAAGCAGGTGGTAGAGCTGGGATTCTCTCCCAGGTAGGCTGGTTCCAAAAACTGAGCACTTAACTACCATTTCATACTCCACAATATAAGCACATGAATATAAAGCTCTCCCACAGGGAAATCAGTCATGTAGAAGTCACATTCCAGTAAAGCATGAACATGACTTGGCAACCCCAGTATAATCAGATAGCCCCCCTCACTCAAGATATCTTAAGAGTAAATCATATATATCAAACTATAAATGATACCCACTGAGGGTACCCACCTCCTCACTAAGAAAGTGGTGGAAGTAAGCAACACTGATAGCCATTTATAGCTTTTTAGAAAAATCTCTCTTTTTGTCTGGCCTTGATTTCTTTTTATCTTTCATTGACTACGTTTTGCTGATCCTGTTCAATAAAGCCCAGGCCCCCCCCCTCCCCTGCTTTTATTGTGTGAAATAGTTGCATCCTTGTAACCGGGTCTTTATTTTTATCGGCAGAAAATTCCACTTACTCCCTTGTATTAAAGTTAATTTAACTATAGAACCTATATCAATAATGCCATTTAAAAGAGGCTGCTTCTAATACTCTGTTGCAAAATGTCTGCAGAGAATTCCGGATTTACTATCACCACTTCCCTTGCTGCTAGCCGGGCCTTGCAGCTTCCTTTCCCTTCTACATCTGAGCACTCTCTGTTCTCTGGCCAGCTGCCTTCTGTTCAGCCCCTGTGTGTTCTCCATTCTCTGCTCTGCCTTAATGATAAGTAGAGTTTCATCCTGAGCACATCAGGGTAGAGGTGGGGGTTACTTCTTTATTTGGGTCCAAGCGAAAAACATACCCTCCTATTGGCAAACCATGAAAAGTATGACACTTTGAGTTTAACAAGATTAAGTAATCCTTCTTTGGATACAGCAATGTGGCCAGCGTGGGGGAAGAGAGTGTTTTTCTTCTTGGACCAATTCTCATTCTGTATCTGGTGGCTTACACAAGACTTCCAAAATACAAGATGCCTAGGGGCCAGGGGATATATTGTTGGGATATACTATAGTTAAAATGACTGTTTTTTGTGTTTTGGTTTGGTTTTTTTTTTCAGTTTTTCCAAAATGATAATTGTTATAAGTAGAGCACTAGAATTTACCTCCTGATGTTGAAATTGCTTAATTTCAAAGAGATGGCCAGTCAAAAGCTTGGGTGTCTCCTCTTCTCATTGGCTTGCTGTGTTTTTAGCTCAGGTTTCCATGGAAAGCAAGCAGTCATTTTCACCAATAACTTAACTTATACCAAATACTTGACCTTGGAATCAGCAATTTACATCCTTATAAAAGAGGTCACTTAGGGAATTTAACTGTGTAATCCCAGCCCCCATGTGGCAGGAGATGAGTAGAAATGGAACAAAGCTGGTGAGACACCATTTGAAACAATTTGAATTGGGAAATCATTTCTTTTTGACTTTGTTTTAAAAATGGAACCTACTTTAAAATGGTACAGGAAGGGAGAAGGATGCAGTTAAAGTCTGTAGAAATAGTGACTCAAAAACTCTGTTCGAGGACTCAAGAAAGCAATCCTGTTGTCACAATTGGAGGGAAACCAGAAAGAATTTAGGTTTTTACTGTCCTAATAGATACTTTTCCAACACCTTTCCTTCAAACACCATGCCCTCCCTTTTATTCTGCCTTTATTAATAAAACTAATGGAGAGAAACACCTTTTAAACTTGAACCAGGAAACAGAGGTTTTGCAAGTGCTAATATTTTGGTGTGGGCTTTTTTTTTTTAATTATTTTTTTTTAAGACAATTATCAAGACGAAGCATTTGTTTCTTCTTTTGTTTACCCATGGCAGTTTGTCAGCAGTTATGATAAGTAGAGTTCCATCTGCCAGTAAAACTACATTGCAAATTGCCGTAGAAATTAGCAGCTTTCATTTTTGCCTACATAAATAAATATGCGAAATAAATTGCACATAAATGCATCCCAAAAAAATCACAGGTACACCGGCACAGTTAAATGCCAATCAGACAAAAAAAAAAAAAAACCAGAGACACATTGCGATTATCTCAGTTTTCAAACCTGGAAGATACACGAATGTGTTTCTAAATGAGAGAGGCAGTGTATCATGCTCGCTGAGATAAAAACAGAAGCTGCCAGACACTGCACTGTGGCTTTATTCTGAGAATCCTTTGCCTGAAACCCGCTCTATCTTTTCTCCGTGTGTCTCTCTCCCTCTCCCTCTCTCTCTCTCTCTCTGCTTCTCTCCCTCTCTCCTCGCTGTCTTTCCCTCGCTCATTGTTCTCTCTCTCCTCCTGCCTTTGATGCACATACGTTGTCACAATCCATTGACTCTCTCCTCTGTTCTTACACTCAAGCCTAGCGGTGCTTTCGCCAGGCAGCAGCCTCTCCTGCGAGTTTGAGGCATGTGTGCAGCTCAGTTTGATCGAGCGTTCCTTCTCTGCCTCTTCACTCTTACAAAAGATTAAAAGGTGGCGTCACATTGCTCCCCTGTTCCTTCCCGCAGGAGGGACTTAAAAGGGACAACAAAAACTAATCACTTTCAATAAGCATTTTCTTGCTGCAAAAAAAAAAAGAGAGAGAGAGAGAGAGAGAGAGAGAGGAGAGAAAAAAAAAAAAAAAAAAAAAAAAAAAAAAAAAAAAAAAAAGGCGGGGGGTGGACTTAGCGGTGTAATTTGAGACCGGCGGTGAGGATTGGAGCGAGCTAGAGATGCTGCACGCTGCTAACAAGGGAAGGAAGCCTACAGCTGAGGCAGGTAAGAGCGCCGATCGGAGGGTTTGACCGAGTGGCTTAGTTAAATCTCTGTTTTCACCGTTTTGTAATTGAGAAAGGCATCCGCATCAGAAGCCGATTTTGCAGCCGGCTTCCTTTTGTTTAACGCAGAAAGTACCTGTATTAATTTTGATGAATTAGAGCATGCAGCAAATTCAATGGAAAATAGATTTGGATAGTAAAATGCATTTTATACCCGAATGATTTCTCCTCCGTTTTATTTAAGGAGAGAAGAGGAGAAAGATGATTTTTTGATCAGACTAGCACTTTGCATTACGTTAAATTCTAAAACAGCTAACGGGGAAAAAAAATAATAATAATAATGATTCAATTGATACTGCTTTTGAACTTCGGGACTTCAAGCCTGGGAGACAGCTGGCATTTGACAATTTTTTTCTTGTAGCTGAACTTCGGATGTGTTATAATAATTTTTCACTGGAGGTTTAAGCAAGGGTAGAGTTTATTTAAGTCTAGCTGCTGGGGTTTGTTTGGCTTGGAGCTTGTGGGGGAAGCGTTTCTTGTATCTTCTTAACCTGCGTCAGGTTGATGTTTCATAAATGGAGATTAAGTATTGTCCCAGATGAAATCTGAAGTTAAAACATCAGGTTAGGGCATGTTTTAGAAACGGATCCAGTAAATAATTGGGATAACTGAATTATGACAGTTTGCAATGGGAGTTAACTCTGGAGGAGCTGTTTGATAAACCTTTCTGGATTCTAAGCAGCTCAATAATGGAAGGGCTAATTATCAGTCTCAAGACGGAACTTTGCATTAGGATCCTAAATGTAGAATACATGTGGACTTCCACTGTAGGTAGCTTTTAGGAATATGTCCCTTTTGTGTGCTATGAATGGGAGTTGTGGATTATATTTGATGGCATTTCTCCTTTAAAGAGCTTTGGGATGAAGCTTAAAAGGCTCACATCTATTTTAACATTGAACAAACACAAAATGCGATACACTCCAATCTCCCAGCACTTGATTTTTGTCGCTGCTTCTGTTGTTTTAAAGTTTTGATTATTCGTTTTTCACCTCAGTCTCGGTCGATTTTGTGTGAATTGCTTATGCTGCTAAAATGTATTGCTGGCATGAATAAACTGAGATTTGAGAATACAAAAAAAAAAAAACAACCCACTTCTAATTAGCCAAGTTTTTAATTTAGGATAACAGAAATTCAGATTATACCTTGGATTTGACCTAAAATGTTTCAATTCATTTAAAAAAATTTTTTTGGATGGGAAAATCTGAATATTAAAAGTACAAAATTCTATTAAAAGAATACTTCTCCGGAATGATACATGGAAAGGTGACTGCACTGCCTTCACAAGGTTTGGTCTTGGAAAGAGCTGCTATACTATGGCATTGTTGAGTTCAGCAACTACGTACGGGAGGATGTTTTCTCCTATTTGCTTGGCGATAAGATTTTTTCCTTCTCAAGTTTCCAAACTGGACTTAGTCCTCAATACCATACTCTGGCATGTCTCATGTTTGTCAGACCATCTAATGGCATCTTGTGGGTGCAGCCTGTGAATGGAATTTTATGAGGACATCAGAAACTGCCGAATACTGGGGACTGGAGACCAAATGAGCTGTGGGTCTGATCGCATGCACTTCATCATCCCGAGATAATCTCCGCCAGAAGTTCCCTGGGAAGCCCCCGATACAGGTGTGGGGAAACTTAATTTTTCCTTGTGGTTAAAAGAACAGAGAAAGATGTGGACGGAGCGAGAAAGGAATTGCTGCAGCGTGTTTGATGTATGTGATCATGCTGGTGATAGCATAGTGAGTTTTTTAAATCCCATCACGTGTAATCGTTTTTTTTTTTTCAACTTAAGAAACTTTGCAGAATCTCGAAGTAGCTTTTCTCAAATGCAATCTTATTTTTTTTTTCTATGTTGCTTTCTTGCATGCAATCTTTTCTCTAACTCTAGCCATAGCTAACTATTGAGGGCTGTTATTTTGCTGCTGATAATGATGATTATTTCTCAAGTAAGTGGCAAGTGTTGAGAGAGGATGGGCCAGGAGAAACGTGTTGTCTGTATCATATGTGTTTTTTTCTTTCATTTATGAAATGACTTCTTCAAGGTGAGGTGATGGTAAATTTGAAGTTACGGCTTGGCCATTTGTATCACTGAACCACTTACCCTTCTCCTAGAGAACGAAATAGAACTAAAGTGAGCGGAAATAATTCCGTTGTAAACTGGGTGGTAGTTCAGCATGCACTTTTTAGGCAGATGGTAATCAATGCTATCCTTACTCAAACTGATTCATATAAATAGCATTTTTCTGACTTTTCCAGTAGATGTTGCTGGAGAGCAAAGAAAAGATCATTTTTTTACAGGAAGAAAAGAAATGCAGTAGACTTATAAAAGCCAAAGAAAAAGATCCTTCTCCCCAAACTCTGCTGATAGCATTTTGCATAATTTCCTAATTAATGAATTATATTGAATCATTACCATTTATGATGTTCTATAGAAAGCTATTAAAACTTGATTTCGATTTTAAAATTACGTGATTGTTCTCTTTCGTCCCTATATATAATGTCTGTTTGCTGTTTTTCATTTTTAAAAAAATCAAGTTAACTGCACATTACTATTCAGAACATTTCATCCCTGAATGCTAAAACCCTTTAACATGCAAATATGATGTCAGAGGAAGAACTGAAATAGAATACCCTGAGAAGAGTAATGATCAAACGCATTATAAAAATATGCACCAGTTGCCAACATGTAATGAAATATTAAGAAATTAAAAGCATGCAACCTCTAAAGTAATAGAATTTCATTGCTCTGAGACTGTTTTCCCACTGAATATTAAGTGCTTAATAGATCTACCCATAAAAAACAATCGAAAACCTACATGGTTTGTCACCGAAGTTCTTTCATTATATGATTTTGAAAAATTAGCCCAATAGGATTTTCCTCAGAATAGGAAATGTAATTAACATTGGATATTAAGTGCCAGACTTCCAAAGCAAAAGCCACAAGGCTTGATGGAGAAAATAGAAATGCAGAGAGCAAACATAAGTGCTAGAAGCTGAGGGGACCCAGGCTGGAACTACTCTACTGGTAATCACTCTGATAAAATGACAAAGACGTCCCAGAGGAGCCCTGGATTCTAGTATCCAGACACTAACTGATGCAATTTCAGGCAACCAATGACCTCTATCTGTGGGAATATTTATTTTTGGAAATGATCAATTAACCGATTTCAATTGTGAAAGAGAAGTGTATCTATTTTTTTTCCAATGTGAGTGGGGTGTTGGGCGTTAGAAAAGCCCTTACAGACAGGACAAGGGAATAACCTATATTGGAGAGCTTTCGGTTTTCCCTACCATAAGCAGACCCAGCCCTTTGCTGGTGGGTTTTTGTTTTGCATGGAAGCACTTCTTTGTCAGTTTTCATTCCTGAGGTGTGAAATGCTCCATAGGATGTTTTGATTTAACACTCATTCATTTCTTTTTTTTTTTTTTCTGGGAGGAAAAAGCTTATATTTAGAAGGCATGAGTGTCAGCTACTTCTATTTTGTAATTAGCACTGTAAGTCCACTGGGGTAAGTATGCTCCAGATTTTTTTTTTTTTTTTTTTGCTTTGATTCAAATATAATTTTTGTGCTTGACCCATAGTGGTTTTTTTTTTTTTTTTTTTTTTTTTTTTTCTTCTGTCTTTAAATAAGAAAAGCTTTACGATTTGGCAGGAGATTTTACTTTCTAGTTCTGGTTTGTTTGCTGTTTGCCTCCTGTTCTTCTTCTTTTTTTAATAGTCGTTATCAAGCACTGGCTATATCCAAAGCACTAAGAGTTCAGTGTGCCAAATGGCACCCCTAACAGCAACAACAAATGTCTGTCCTCTCACTGAGGATCTTATGAAGACAAAAGGTATGAGCCGTACCTGGAGAACCACCTACTGGCCAGGTCCTAACTCCCTACCTTTGGAGAGCAGGAGAAAAAAAGGTTGCTGCCACATCTGAATTCGGAGTGGAAGGTGAAAACACAAAATAATCCTCATCAGCAAAATCAGAGGGAAGATGTGCGATGCAGTGTCAAAAAGAGTGACTGATGCTAGTCTGATGGAGAGCCTTGAATGGCGTGCAAAGTATCTGATAGCCATGGGAGAGGTGTGATCTGGCAGCTTTTAGAGGAGTTGAGGGTTAGTATGGGAAGGACTGGAATACTGGGTCCACACTGTACCACTCACTCTCCCCAGGAGATTCTGGAACACCTGTCTAAGGGGCAGCCTAATCTATTAAATTGCAGCCTTAAGGAGCTATTGCTACTAGTAGGATATTGTTTATACCTTTTACCACTGTTGTATTCTAGAGGCCGGAGGCCAGTGAGTAATCTATTATTGCATTAGCCTGGACATAGGTGGTAAGGTTGAGAAACATTGTTGAGGGCAGGGAGAGTGGCTTTGAGAAACGCCTTCCTATTATAATTATTGCAATTTCTTGTTTGTACTGTAGATGTCATGGCCTCATTAGGCAGGGATTTTGTGTATATGCATTTGTTTTCATGTTTTCATAAGAAAAACCTTCACCATCCGTCAGAGATGAGACCCGTAGTTTAGAAGGTGTGGCGTTCTCTCTGTGCTATTTGGGTATAATCAATTAGTGTTATGTTTGTTTCCTGTTCCCTGACATTGATGAGGATGGATTTTTATGATCGTTGAGGGTTTTCATCTATCTAAAAAGGTATATACTTTACTTATTAGAATTAATTGCCTCTCTGAATTACCTGTGTTGTCAGTTACTTTCTATAAACCTCGACTAACTTGCCTTGAACTCTTTGACGTCTGGAGTGTTTTTGACTGACAATCTCAGCTGTGGC